CTGCACGTCCACCCAATCCGCCATCTTGTTTGTTTTTCCTTGTTTTTATTTTTTTAAGTCCTAGTGTGGTGCTGTGGGTTAATAATACACTGGACTGCAGAGTCAGTTTGAACTGCAAGGTCTGCAGTTCTGACACATCATACGCTCCAAGTTCTGATGCATGCTAAAGTTTGAGAAGCAACCACTGTTGTAAACCTTTGTATCCGAATGGCAATCTGAGGAACATCAACATCACTTGAGAGCTTGAGAGCATGCAGATCTCAGTCCTCATCCCAGACTTACTGCATTAGAACCCACAGTCTCTCAAGGTTCCCCAGGTGATTTCGTATGCTTGTTAGTGTTTGTGAAGCACCGGTCTTCACCACCTTAAGGATGGTGAACTTTCATCTTAATAACATCAGGATGGAAGATAGATTGTAGACGTTTAAGGATGGAGACAGGGAGACCAGTGTAACGATTTAAAGCTTAAAAGACAAGTAACCGCCATTCTCAGCACATTAACTTACAATTTACTTCTCCCTCAAACCTCCAACCCAAATATTCTGGCTTCTCTAGAGCCTGCTGCGGCTGTTTAAAGAGTAAAGAAAGATCTTGCTGGAAAGAAGTGTTATATGGAAAAATTCTATTTCCTTTACCCATGCGGATGGCCCTTTAAAACCGTGGTCCCAGGTTTTAAAGAGTTCTTTACCAGGAATGACCCTGTACAAGGCAGATTCCTCCAGTTTCTCTGCATGAAGTAAACTCATGGTGGTCTGTAAACTGTGGCCTTTGGTGCTGTCTTTTGTGCATTGGCAATAGAGACTTCAGAGCTCAAATGATATAGGACATATGGCTGAGCTGTTTCTCATTTAGTTTGGCTTACTATACATTCCAAAAGCCTGCTTTCCTGCTTAAATCCCCAATCCACTCACAAAATCAAAACACACACAAGATGCTGGAGCTCTGAGTAAAAGGGGTTCGAGTAGGCGTATAATCTCCAACTTTGCCTACCGAGATACAAATATTTCATTTTCTTCATTTCCTTGGTAAGACTGGGTGCCAGTCATTTCTTTCTTAAGCCCTGAAATCTGGGAACGTGATGTCTAGCAATTTTCATAAAGTATACGTAGTGGTTACGAATCGGGCTGCGAACTGGAAGGTCAGCAGTTCGAAACTACCAGCTGCTCCGCGGGAGAAAGATGAGGCGATCTGCTCCCGTAAAGATTTACAGCCTCGGAAACCCTATTCAGGGTCGCTATGGGTCGGAACCGACTCGACGGCACTTAACAACAACAACAACATAACACACAAATAGTTTAGGTATGTTGTAGAGATTTTAGGCTTGTGTTTTCCTGATTATATAGACGATATTTTACTTACAAAAACACTACAGATTTGAGATTTGCTATTTCAGTTGAGAAGATAGTATTTATATGTTCTTAAGTAATATTATACACCTGCTTTATATAAAATACTAGGTATGTGGGATGTGTTGAAGTAAAAAAAAGGGAGTAAGCATTGCCTTTAGGGACTTCATTAGAACAGAGATAACAGACAGAATCACTGTGCTAATGACACCATTCTCCATTTCATCCAGAAATGGTGTCAAGGGAGACACTGTTTTCTACTGAGCCCAGAGTCAGCCCAGAATTCTTTGCAATAGAGCATTCCAGGCAACTTTTATATAGTTAGATAAAAATCTGTCTGCCATCCTTTTTTAAAAAACATAAATGCATTTTGAGTACCTTGGATACTTGCCTAGCCTTTTTAAAGTATTTTATTTATTAAACATTTTCGTAAGTTTGGGTTTTTTCATAAATCATTTTACATATGAATATCAGAACCTTAGAACTTCCTGAGAAACCAGAGTATGGTAAGGTTGCTTTTCAAACAGAAAAACTGAAACTTCTAAATTTAAGAAGATAAACATTTGGTTGAAGTACACAATTATGAAAGCCCATGCCCATTACTTGCCACTGTAAACTTTGTTCTCTTTTCAGCATGATTGTCCTTGTACTTATTGTTTTCGAACATCTAAAGCTGCTTGTTGATCGCATTTTCAAGGGCTCCTTCAACGTTGCCAGGGTCACCTGTTTTTGTAGCCATCAAAGGTCTTATTGGCCCTGACTTGTTCAGAATGATCATTGCTGATGATTTCACACCCACTTGTATCTTTCACTTTCTTTTCATCCTACACATTTTCTATAGGTCCTCCATCAAAGGCCAGAGTTTCAGCTGCTTACGAATATATTACTAGATCTCAAGTATATTCTCTGATTCCACTCAAACTCTTGACCAGGGCTGGGGAATGTCCAGCCCACAGGCCGTAGAAGGCCCACGAAATCAGTTGATCTAGCCCTGCCAAGGCAACTGCAGTTCCAGCTAGGGGTGAGTTAATTAAATGTTTTACCAAATAGAGCAGGCTAATTTTTTTTTAAGTTAATAATATTGTCTGGCCCATGAATGATGTTATAAATTTTTACAGAAAAAGATTCCCCGCCCCTGCTTGAGACCCTTAATTAAAACTATCCATAGGACATTTCCACCAGAGCGATAAGAATTAGCATAAGGGTTTCCTTGAAGGCAAGCTGTATGTAAGAGCTTTACAAGCAAAACTTCATTTAACCTTTCAAAAAACTTTGAGCAGTCATCATCCCCATTGTGAAGGTGGGAAATAAGGCTTGGACAAGCACACCATCAGTAAGTAATAGAAATGAGCATGGTACATAATATATATAAATAATAGTATTTCCAGACACCCTAGCTTGAGCTTACACAAAACTGAAGTCATCCTACTACCCTGCCTCGAAACTGCAGTACTAACCTTAAACCAGTCTTCAACAAATGCCATTTTGCTTTCATATCCTCATTCAAGGTCCAGTAAGCTATAAGTCCTATTGGTTCTCCTAAATAGCTCTCAAGTCTTTCTCCTCTCTTTGGTTATGTATTTTGTGCAGACTGTTTTTATTTGTCCTTACCTAGAATGCAGTCTTTATTCCCAATCTCCTTATTGTGGTCTTTTTTGGAAGAGAAGAGGAAAACTACTGTGTCCCTGTAGTTCGTTTACTATACCTATCTTAGGTACAAAGATAAGACACAAATGAGCCAAGTTTATTTAGTGTGGAACAAGTGTTTCTCATTTAATGCTTTCACTTGAATCTTTGTAATCGTATCTTATCTTTGCTTGTTTTCTAGGAATGTTTACCCTTGCAGAAGTTGCTTCACTTAATGACATTCAGCCAACTTACCGAATCCTGAAACCATGGTGGGACGTGTTTATGGATTACCTGGCTGTCGTTATGCTGATGGTAGCCATCTTTGCAGGAACCATGCAACTTACCAAAGATCAGGTGGTCTGCTTGCCAGTGTTGCCATCTCCTGTAAATTCAAAGGCACACACGCCACCTGGAAATGCTGACATCACCACCGACATTCCGAAGATCGAAGCAGCTACTGACCAAGACCAAGATGGGCAGGCAACAAATGATGTTTCCTTTGGCACATCTGCCGTGACCCCTGACATACCTCTCAGAGCCACATATCCTCGTACAGAACCCACAGTTCTCAATCAGGAGGTGAAGAAAGACCCAACAGGCCGAAAAACAAACTTGGATTTTCAGCAATATGTATTTATTAATCAGATGTGTTACCATCTGGCCCTTCCATGGTATTCTAAGTATTTTCCCTACCTTGCTCTGATACATACTATTATTCTCATGGTCAGTAGCAACTTTTGGTTCAAATACCCCAAAACGTGCTCAAAAGTAGAGCATTTTGTTTCAATTCTAGGAAAGTGCTTTGAATCTCCTTGGACTACTAAAGCGTTGTCTGAGACGGCGTGTGAAGACTCAGAGGAAAACAAGCAGAGAATAACAGGTGCCCAGACTTTACCAAAGCACGTGTCTACCAGCAGTGATGAAGGAAGCCCCAGTGCCAGCACCCCGATGATCCAGAAAACGGGCTTCAAATTTTCAGCTGAGAAGCCTGTGATCGAAGTCCCCAGCATGACCATTCTGGATAAAAAAGACGGGGAGCAGGCCAAAGCCTTGTTTGAGAAAGTGAGGAAGTTCCGAGCCCATGTGGAAGACAGTGACTTGATCTATAAACTCTACGTGGTCCAAACAGTTATCAAAACAGCCAAGTTCATCTTCATCCTCTGCTACACTGCAAACTTTGTCAACGCAATCAGCTTTGAACACGTCTGCAAGCCGAAAGTTGAGCATCTGACTGGGTATGAGGTGTTTGAGTGCACCCACAATATGGCTTACATGTTGAAAAAACTTCTCATTAGTTACATATCCATTATTTGTGTGTATGGTTTTATCTGTCTCTACACTCTCTTCTGGTTATTTAGGATACCGCTGAAGGAATATTCTTTTGAAAAAGTCCGAGAAGAGAGCAGTTTCAGTGACATCCCAGATGTCAAAAACGATTTTGCATTCCTTCTACACATGGTAGACCAATATGACCAGCTGTACTCCAAGCGTTTTGGTGTGTTCTTGTCAGAAGTCAGTGAAAATAAACTTAGGGAAATTAGTTTGAACCATGAGTGGACATTTGAGAAGCTCAGGCAGCATGTCTCCCGTAATGCCCAGGACAAGCAGGAGTTACATTTGTTTATGCTATCAGGTGTGCCCGACGCTGTCTTTGACCTCACAGACCTGGATGTGCTGAAACTTGAACTGATTCCAGAAGCTAAAATTCCTGCTAAGATTTCTCAAATGACCAATCTCCAAGAGCTTCACCTCTGCCACTGCCCTGCAAAAGTTGAACAAACTGCTTTCAGTTTTCTCCGTGATCACTTGAGATGCCTTCATGTGAAGTTCACTGATGTAGCTGAGATTCCAGCCTGGGTGTATTTGCTGAAAAACCTCCGAGAGTTGTATTTGATTGGCAATTTGAACTCTGAAAACAATAAGATGATAGGACTCGAATCTCTCCGAGAGTTGAGGCATCTTAAGATTCTCCACGTGAAGAGCAATTTGACCAAAGTTCCCTCCAACATTACAGATGTGGCTCCACATCTTACAAAGTTAGTCATTCATAATGACGGGACTAAACTCTTGGTACTGAACAGCCTTAAGAAAATGATGAATGTCGCCGAGCTAGAACTCCAGAACTGTGAACTAGAGAGAATCCCACATGCTATTTTCAGCCTCTCTAATTTACAGGAGCTGGATTTAAAATCAAATAGCATACGCACAATTGAAGAAATCATCAGTTTCCAACATTTAAAAAGACTGACTTGTTTAAAATTATGGCATAATAAAATTGTTACCATTCCTCCCTCCATTACCCACGTCAAAAACTTGGAGTCACTTTATTTCTCTAACAACAAGCTCGAATCCTTACCAGTGGCAGTGTTTAGTTTACAGAAACTCCGATGCTTAGATGTCAGCTACAACAACATTTCAATGATTCCAGCAGAAATAGGATTGCTTCAGAACCTGCAGCATTTGCATATCACTGGGAACAAAGTGGACATTCTGCCAAAACAATTGTTTAAGTGCATGAAGTTGAGGACTTTAAATCTGGGGCAAAACTGCGTCACCTCCCTCCCAGACAAAATCAGTCAGCTATCCCAGCTCACACAGCTGGAGCTGAAGGGGAACTGCCTAGACCGTCTGCCAGCCCAGCTGGGCCAGTGTCGACTGCTCAAGAAAAGCGGGCTTGTTGTGGAAGATCACCTTTTTGACACCCTACCACTTGAAGTCAAAGAAGCATTGAATCAAGACCTAAATGTTCCCTTTGCTAATGGGATTTAAACTGCGATACTCCATGCACACCCGTGTGCAGGAACTGCTTCCTAGATTGCAAATGCTCACGTACATGTTATTGCAAGATGATGCATTTTAGGAGTAGATACATCTTTAAAAATAAAACACAGAGAGGATGCGTAGAAGGCTGATAGAAGACATGACTAAATGTTCAATGTCTGTAGTGTTTTAAGTCATTCATTTCCAAATCATTTTCTTTTGCTTTTTTTTTTTTTTCTTTCTTTCTTTCTTTTTGGGAAAGGGAAGGAGAAATTATAATCACTAATCTCGGGTTCTTTTTAAATTGTTTGTAACTTGGATGCTGCCGCTACTGAATGTTTACAAATTGCTTGCCTGCTACAGTAAATGATTAAATTGACATTTTCTTACTATACCACCTGTTTTGGTGATTTACTTGGGCTAATTGGTGCAATGCTCTTTTAACTCAGACCATTAAAGACACACCAGGTAGGAACCTGTTAATTCAACTTTGCTAAAATCCAGATTTCTCTTCTTTTTTGATTTAAAGCACCTCAGATGACTACGTCTTATAATATTGCCCCAGGAGTGTTGCTGCTGCTCTGCTGCTACTACTGAAAATAGCTTTCATACTGTTGAAATTGAGTCCATGGGTGAGGTAAATGATTTAAACGCACTTAGCTGCTAACTGAAAGGTTGGAGGTTCAAGTCTGCCCAGAAGCATCTTGGAAGAAAGGCTGATGATCTGCTTCCGAGAACTCAGTCATTGGAAACGCTGTCAAGCACAGCTCTACGCTAACACCCATGGGGTCACCAGGAGTCCAAGTCAACTGGGTGATCCCCGGTAGTGCTCTCAAAGGTCTAGAATGCAGTAAAGGCGTGGAGGTGGTTCTGGGTTTTGATTTGTTCCTTAGGATAAATAGTAACAGGAAAAACCAAAGAAAGCACTCCTTCATAATAACTATTTTCTGTAATCCAGATCCTGATTCTGTACATTTTTCTGTCAGTAATATAGGATTGACAATAAACATGAAATGTATTTTTTTTAAATAAATTTCATTATAACCAAATCCATTTTTAATGACTTAATGGTTAACCTTCCAGTATCACCACTTGGGAGATCCCACAAAGTCTAAGCAGCAGATGTCCCTGTTGCCCTTGTCACTGTTGCTGCCCTGGAGGGAAGAACTAGGACCCGCAGTTCCAGTCAGGCGGGAAACTCTGGCTTTCCCTGTTCCGTTCGGTAACAAGACTGTATTTCAGGGCTTGTCTGCATCTATGTGGGTCATGTCCAGGGAAATGCTGACAGAATGTACCACATAGATAGCTTCCTCCTTCTTTATTGAACTTAAGAGAAAGGTGCCTCAACACATCTCAGAAATTTAAAAAATTGTTTGCCACCTGGTTAAGTAGTAGTTGGCGGGTATTTCATAGACCTTCTACAGGAATGTTTGGTTTTTTGCTTGTTTGTTTTTCTAAGAGAAGAGAAGCATTTACCGTTCTAGATGGAGTAGTATGGTCTCTATACAAGACTGGACTCATTTATGTCACTCTTTAAATACAAGAGAGTGTGGGGAAATGACCTCACATCGTTGCCATCCTCAGAAAAACTAAACCCTAAGGGTACTGACCTGTGACAAATGGAGGTGAATCTCTGCCTGTGGTAGAGCTTGTAATACTCTGAGAAGCATTACTGCTGCTAGAAAAGGCTGAACCACTACCGCTGATGTAAGAACCGACCTCAACTAGCCTTCCTCCCACCTCCTAAAAGAGTCACCAGGGCTAGCTTATAAAAGCCCAAGTCTAGAAAATCAGACAGGACTATTGTGAAACTGTGCTACAAGCAAAGACTCTCCCATATGCACATCTTCCACTCACTCTGCAGTTGTTCATGTATTCTCTAACATGTATCTACTTTGTGTCCAGACAGTGTTAGGATCTAGGGAGTCAGTGTTGGAATAAGTGTTATGGTCTCTGCCTACGCGGAACATTATAGCAAAGTGGGAAAGAGAAACAATTAGGTACATAATTACAATTTTGATGAAGAAAGTATATAAGGTTCTGTGTGAGTGAATGATACTAGGAATGCGGGCAAACATAGTCAAAGAGGAGATTCAAGGAAATTTTGCTCTTACAACTGCCTGTAACCACACCTGGACATTTCCCTCATAGGACCCTGTTCTCTCTGCATAGTAAAAGCCACCACTTGAAACTGGTGGTGCTGTAGTATAAGTATTGGGCTGCTAACCACAAGGTTGGCAGTTTAAACCCACCAGCTCCCACAAAGATTTACTGTCTCAGAAACACTAAGGAGCAGGTGCACTCTGTCTTGTTGTTAAGGGCCATTGAGTCGGTTCCAACTCATAGATACCCTATGCCCAACAGAACAAAACACTGCCCTGACCTGGGCCAACCTCACAATTGTTGTCAGTCACGCTTGAGTCCATTGATGCTGCCACTTAGCCAATCCATCTCGCTGGGGGTCTTCCTCTTTTTCTTTGACCCTCCACCTTACCAAACATGATATGCCTCTCCAGTGACTGGTCCCTCCTGACCTCTGAATACTTGAAATCAGCTCAATGGCATTGGAGTTGGGTTTCATGCATCTTTATTTGTGAGGTAAATGGACCAGATCTTACAATCCTTGCTTTTCAAACAAGAAAACTTCTCTTCCTTTCTTAAAACAAGCGCATATTGTTTGTGAAGGGCAGTGGCGGCAGGGCTCCCACAGGTCACCTTAGTGGTGAGAGCAGAGTTGCAGCGTTCCCAAGCTTGACCAGTGGTGGCCCTTCTTGACAGTGCTGGCCACAAGCACCTGTTTCCTGTACAGTACTTGGGGATTCAGTCACTTAGTACTGATTGGCATTGGAGGTCTTCACACAGCATCAGCAGGTACCTTTTCTCTTATCAATATGTCTGTTGACTTCAGCAGCCCTTAATGATTTCTTTGAACTCTGAAGAGTTCACGGTCAGTTGATTTAAATGCCACTTTCCATGCCACTGTTTGCAAATAGCAGTTGAATATTTTAAAAGAAGTTTCCTAAGGAATGCTGACTCATTTAGCAAGCTTTAAATACAGTGGGTCTTAGAGTCTCAAGAAAACAGCATATGAGAGAGTTGTAGGCCCAAACATAATTGCTGGTCCGTGTGTCCCCATGAATTTGCGTTAGCATTGAACACACCAGGCATGAGGGAAATGAAATGAGCTAGTTTAAATGTAAGAGTCTTGGTTTACTAGTATCTTCACAACTTTATCTAAAACCCTTTGAGTACTCATATAAAGAAAATTATTTTAAGAGTATCTTTAATATTCATTCAATATCTGGGTGGTAGTGGTTGTTATCAAGTGCCATTGAGTGGGTTCTAAGAGAACCTGGTTTACTTTTGACTCTGACTTTGTTTTCAGGGGCTCAGGGTAAGAATGAGTTACAGTCATTATAGGGTCTTTATTCTTAATAATGGAGAGTAAGTAATTTAATAATAGGAAGAGTCTAGGTCCTTGTTGTTCAGTGCCATCAAGTCGGTACCAACTCGTAGCGACCCTATGCATAAAAGAATGAAACACTGCCCGGTCCTGGGCCAACCTCACAATTGTTCCTTGGATGGCCCCAAATAATTTGGCTCTTGGTGAAGGTTGACGGTTCATATCCAGCCAGTGGCACCACACAAGATTGTCCTGATGATCTCCTTCCATAAAAATTACGAAGAATCACTACTAACTGCTCTGACAGGGATCACATCAGAAGGTCTTTGATAGAGTGGAGGAAATGTGGAACAAAACTCAAAAATCACAAAAGAAACTGGCTGACTAGAGACTGGTGGAACCCCTGAGACTATAGCCCTTAACTCAGCCTACAATGGGAATAGCACTAGTGTAATTCCCATTATATTCACACTGTACAATAATCTTTGAGATAAAAAGGGCAGCATTTAACCACGGACAGTGTTCAAAAGGGTTAAGAAAAAAAGATGAATGGAAACAGTGAGGGAGTGGGATAAGTGATTTCCATACAGATTGTAATGAATGAGATGAAGTAACGTGTATGAATTGTTGAATGTAAAGTGTGATCTGCTCTTAAGAATTTCACCCAATTCACAATAAAAAGTTTAAAACAATGATAGCCAAGCAAACCCTGTGGAACAATTCTACTCTCTAGCATGGGGCTGCTGTGAGAATCTCCCATGGCAACAGGTTTGGGGTTTTATGTAGAAAGAGTTCACTCTACATAATTCCTGGCCTAGTGTGACTGCTTTGACATTTTTCATATCTAAAGAGAGAAGCCAGATTTTATTAAGAGCATCTAGTGCGTTCCCTGACTAACTCCCCTGGGCTCTACTTCAACCAGTAACCAAACAATCCAAGTTGCTGATGGCAGCAAACTCCAATGTGCCCTTGAGACAGCACCCAACAGTTGTTTCCATTCACCTTGCTGAATAAAAGCCAGAGTACTGGTCTGGATAAGATTTCTGGCAGCGCTTGCGTCAGTAATTCATTCTAATAAAATGGTCCCTTTATCAACTGAATCCCTAAACAAAGACTGTATTAACAAAAAAACCCTTTCATAGAAAGGAGAACAACAACAAAAAAGAACAAACCCCTGGAAAACAGTTTTTTAATGTCCTCACACTTGTGACTGTGACACAAAGAAGCCTGGTCTGGGCCAGCTGTGGCTCTCCTGTCCTAGCACATGTGCACCCTAGGGTGATGTCTGTAAGAGGGAGCACTTAGGCTAAGGGGGCAGAAGAGCAGCAGGCCACAAACCATCTCTCAAATCTGGATTAGCCTAGACCAGAGTCACATGGCTGAAATCTGGGAATAAGCCCCTGAGCTCACAAATCTCAAAAATAGAAGAGTAACTTCTGCCTCTGCAAATACAGTACAAACACTGCCAGGTAAACAGCAGCTCTCCGTGGGACTCCACGAATTCCTTTGCTTGGAATTGATCTGAAGGGTTTCAGATGCATGACCCACTTCCCTCCCACTGCTGTGGGGGGAGACCTGACCACAGAGACTGCCCCCCGTTCAGCCT